GTACTTGTCACCTTCTCGGTGAGACACACCCTGCATACCTTGTTTACAGCCGTAACTCCCCTCCCCCCCACAGCATACATGTACCATCCTTAACTTTATTTTTCCCTTAAGGATTCACCATCATATGGCATGTCATGTATTTTGTTTATTTTGTGTTTCACGTTTCCCCCACCAAAATGTAAGCTGCACAAGTGCAGGGATATTATCTACTTGTTCACTACAGTGCCTAAAATAGCAGACATCAAATATATATTTGTTGAATGAATCAATATTTTAACTCTTCCTTGGGGATCATGTGTATTTTCATCCAGTTAAAGACAATCGAATTTCAATTTCAGGGAATCAACAGTGTTTTCTAGAAAGTAGTATCTTCCCTCAAAAAGGGAGCCAGTTACACAAAATCCCAAATAGGATAATTACTCTTCAGACCTCCTTCTCTCTGCATAACCATGAGTGCTGAACGAAGGGGTCAAATATTTATTCCACTTTAATTACCTTCCTGAGTCTATTTTTCTCCAGTTTAGTCTGTCTAAATCCTGTGATTTCTCATCATCTTCCCTAGTTTATCCTATTATAATCCTAATACTCTTTGCCAGACCACACTCTTTATTATTTACTCCAAATTTGGTAGACGCTAAACAAACAAACAAACAAACAAAAAACATCATCATCATTTGGCATGAGACAAGAGATGATAAGAATCTTCCTGCCTCTGAAAAGCCAGGAGAGTTATATATAAACCTCAAGTCTGGAAAGGCCGGAAAAGAGGGTATTACTAGCGAGGCTCAGATCATAAAACATAATTCCTCAGCCTTCTTTTTTCCTTCCATGTCTTTTCCTGTTGATCTCAGCCTGGTTTCTATACAGCTTGCTACAAGCAGATTCACCACTGCTAGATCAGAGTTCTTACCCACACCTATCCCTCACCCCATGTGTACTCAGGCAATCAGGCTCATGTGAATTCCTGGGTCAGTGACAAAAGAGGCAGGATTTCTAGAAAGAGCCTTGACCACTATCCAAAAATTCCCCCTTGTAACCCTTCAATATCCAGGTTTTTTTCTATTCCTTGAGGCTTGGAATAACCTGGCGTCTGTTAAGACAGCTAGGACTGTTGAGTCCCTTGGGTGACCACTCGGATCACCTCTGTCCTTAACCAAACCTGAAAGTGGGAGCACTGGGGGAGACTTGGGTACCCTACATCTGTATGCTACCACACTGCAGAACCTTTAGCAGCTCCACTGCCATGTGGATGGCTCCCCATCCTCAGTTCTAACCAGACTGCTGAGCTCTGCCATCTCTGCTTCAAAGTGTGAAGTCTACGAAATCATCTGGGTCTCGGATACTCAGTCCTCAGCCTCACTCCAGCTGATCTCCTTCCGCAGAGTCTGACACCTGTCATCATGTACCTGGTCTATTTTCAGGATCCCTGTCCCAAAATGATGGTGACCAATCGCCTGGTTCCAGAGCATCTGACCATGCCATCATCTCCTTGACTAGGTCCCCCCTGAACTAACTGTTTTGAAACTTATAATGTGATTATAGTTTATCAACACAAAGAAACAATGTCAGAGGAAAAAAATAGCATGGAGCTGCATACCTTAACTCTATACAGCGCTATATGCCAATTATACCTTAATAACTGGAAAAAAACAGCATGGGAAAATATTCAGGTTATAAAGCAGGTTATAAAGCAGACTTTCATTGTGCTTGAAAAATTGAACTGGGATAGAGATGGTTTTCTCAGCATAGTGAGATCACCAAGTCCGCACTTAGCCAGGTCCCTTTCACCCCACTCACACATCCACGTCATCTCGGAGTGGGTCTCTGCCTAGTTCTGACACTTTTCCCAGCTCTTCAGAAGCTCTGGAGTGGCAAAAACACATACACCTTGTATCCACATCTCTATCTACCCCTTTACCCAGCATGGTTTGGCTTAACTCACTCACTTCAGTCTGCAAAGTAGGGTGGGAGGCAAAGAGGAGCAGCACAGGTGTGCAGGCTGTGACAGATCATCAATGGACAAAATCTGCAGCCAGCAGAGAAGGGGAACAAGTGTGGACCCTGCCAAACACAAAGTGGGCTGCTGTCTTTGGGCCACACAGAAGGGTCACAACAGCATTTGTTTACCCATGATTTACACAGATTTTCCAGCAATACAGGCTTTGTCCAATCAGTCAGTATAGACACCTGAACCGTGACAGAAACCTTTAATGTGCTCATCGAGCCAGTAACTAAGGCTACTCAATTGGCAATGCTCTCTTAGGCCTTGTTTCAAAGGAAAGAAAAAAATGAAATTCTGAAGGAAACAAACTAATAATGATAAGCATTTTTGTTCTCTCTCGGCCAAACTATATAAATACACTCTGTTGTATAAAAACACTAGGCTCTTGATCCTTCTAAAATCTGAACTATTTGAGGATAAGGCCTGAGTAAACATGGTTTATGCCTTGCTTTATTTCAGTTCAGCTCAGCAAATTGCTAGATGGGGAACAGAATACTGATTTTTCAGCTCCTTTTATTCTTCTGTCTTCTTTCTGTTTTCAATTTTGCTTTGTTGTTGGGTTCCTTTTGCTCCCAGGTTCGTACTGTAGCCCCTGTTTTTGATTTAAAATTAGGGCTTGGATCAACTTACCTGATTTTGTCCTAGCATTGCCCCAATCCACCTGCCTGAGCGACTGGAACCACCCGTTTTCACTGATGCTATAAGTTTCTGCCTACGAAAAAGGCTGCCCTGATTCTCTTGAGTACCTTATTCTCAAGGCACCTTGTACACCTCCTGTTTGTTTACCATGGAGACAGCAGTTTGGGAGATATGTTTACTATGGGAGTACACAGGCTATAGTGATGCTGAGGAGAAAATACAAGCAGCTACGTACATGCTACACAGAGATGTGGCATGCAGTGAGCATCAGAAGTGTGAAAATCTATAAAGCACAGGAAAATCAGAGATTCCTTCCTGAACGAGGTATGAACACATAATTAGAGAAAGGTAACAGCCAGGATATAGAACTCGATATCAACCACACATATAAGGAAACTATGATTACCAACCTGATTCCACTAATGCGGTCTAAAGAAATGACTCTGGATATTCTTGAATTAAAAAGAAAAACATGGAGATTGAACTTAAAAGTCTCCTTTCAGCTTGAGTGTTTTCAGACTCGTCGTTAAGACAAGTCTCTCCAGACAGCAAGTATTTTCTGTGATTCTTGAGTTCCACGCTTGGTCATTCTGGCTTAGAGTCCTCAGTCTCTACACTTTGAAAAGGGGTATGTGCTAGTCAAGAAGTTAATGCTGAAGGTGGAAGAGTACCACTGTAATTACCAGTGGAGACTGCCTGTGGCCAAGACACCGCAAAGAGAAGTTAATGCTGAAGGTGGAAGAGTACCACTGCACCAGTGGAGACTGCCTGTGGCCAAGACACCGCAAAGGCAATGCTACTCTCAAACGTCATAACGTACTACAATCTGTTCTTGAGAAAAATACTCTTATTTTCACACGGGAACTGGAGTGAACTATCTCTGTGTTTACCAAGCACACCAGCAGCTTATTGCACACAGTTCTTTTTAGATTGGATATGTCGCTTTTCAGATTGTATATGTTACTTAAAGGTACTCAACAAAAAGCAGTTAGAAAATAACAAAACCAAAAAAGGCTAGCTTAGCTCTGTGAGTCTGTAACAACATCATACTCGAATGTGAAATATCTGTGTCAATTCTGCTTTGTGGCTCTAACTGAAGAAATTAGAAAAATCTCAAAATTATTCTGCAACTTTAAGATGCAGGAATATTGGTGAGCATTCACAATTTTCCTTCACTGAAAATCTCATTGTATATAATAGGGAAGTCATTGAATACTATGTCTTTCTATTATATCCGAATGATTTTCGCAGTAGGCAATCTGCTAGTACACCACAGGAGTCCACACTTTGAAATAAAATGGCATTGTGGATACAGTTTTATGTGTGATCCCTATTCAGTCCAGAGCACTGCCTAGTTTCCTTCCTCTTGGCTGAATTGAGTGGGCAATCCATAAAGAGTGAGTGAGAAGAGGAAAAGCACATAATGAGTTCTTCTTTTGTCTTCATCAATAATACAATTATGCTCTGCCAATTACTGGAGTGGTGACTGTATATATTGCACTTTGAAAATAAGTCAAAAAAAGACTTTTGCATTGCTAAAATGGTACACAAGCCATCTCCAGCAGGGGGCAAATATCAGTAAATCTAGGTGGATCCTGGCACGCTTTTCCTATACATCTGGTGGAATAATACGGTACAGGAGTCAGAGAGACACTTCTTCCCACCCCCTCTTCGGATGAACCTAATATAAAATCTATTTAGTAAGGACATTCTGCACAAGGCATCCTATGTGCTTAATTTTCTTTAAATGTGGCATTAATAAAATCACACTAGCATCTAATAAAATTTTTAATTCCTTAAGGGTAGGAACCATTACTAACCTTTAATGAGTAATTTAGTGAAAGCATTTAGTTCCCCTCTTGGTAAGAATAACCAGTAGAATATTCTTAGCCCTACAAGACATATCTACATAGGTGGTATTACTGACGGCTCCAGAATAAAATGGTAATCAGACTGATTAATGTACCTGTACGTGCTCAGTAAAGACTGGTTTCCAGAGTTACTAACAGCAGAAAATGATAGCAAGGGTATCAAAGAATGATGGGAGAGCTTCAGAAACACGATGCTATTTCACTGCAGAATGCATTCCCATTTGTGATTACAAGCAGCATGAAGAATGAGCCTACAGAGTAAGATTCCAAGACACTATATAGTTCAGTAATCTGTTCCCCAAAGAACCAGAGCTTTGAACACACAGTCACTGCCGGTGAGACCAGTGTCAGATCTAGAGCCACTGAAGGAAAGAATCCATAAAAAAAAAAATTAAAAAAAAAATTAAAAAAAAAAACACCTTTTCTTCCAGTTGGTGAGAAAGCTCTGGCTAACCAATACAAATTTAGGACAGCGTAGTAGTACTCACAAACTCTGGGGATCTGAAATCATGCTGACTGTCCAGGGTTCCAAAATTGGAGACAATCATCTGATCAAGGTTTTCCAACTCTAAAAAGAAACAAACACACATAAATGAAGCATGAAGTTTCATCAGCTCACATACCTTTTTTGCTTTTAAATCAGCCACACTGGCTCACCAAGTATATTTAGCATTTGTGGCACACTTACAAGTTTACATTATTTAACACTTTCAACTATCAACTATCAGGGATACTCAAAATCTTCAGCAGCTATTTCATCTATTGGACAATGCCACGCTTGTAGGATATTAGAAAATATCCTTGTAGGATATCTGAAAATGCTCTAGGCTAGATCTACCATAGAAAATCATTTAGCTTCTACACGGAAGGACACAGCAAATAAATGTTATTAAACTCTAGCTAAGCCTACCGATGTGCTTTTTCTACCACCTTTCAGAGAACTGACATGGAGTCATTCTGCAGTAGTAATTTTCTATTCTAAAATCTGCTGAATTACACTATCTGATAGAAATATACTGGGAGACAAATTGTCTGTTAGACATATAAATAAAAAAACAGGTAAAATTAATTTTAGTAATATAATCTCTTTAACCTGATATACTCAGATTATCATTTGAACATGTATTCAAAGTAAAAAATTATTAGTAAAATATTTTACCTTTTTTTTGGTACTAAGTCTTTGAAATCCAATGTGTATGTTACACCCAAAACACTTCTCAGTTTGGACTAGCCACATTTCAAAAGCTCAAAAGCCATATGTGACTAGTGGTCACTGTACAGAACAGCATAGTTAGAGGGATAAAGGAACCAAATTTAAAAGGTGGGTCACTGTGCAAGACATTTGTCTCGTTTTGTCAGCAAGTTCCTGACATGAACAAAAGGAATTGTTTCAGATTAAAAGGCACTGAGAGGACAAAACACTTGTGTGCAATGTGTGGTTCTGGATTGGATCCTGGTTTAAACAAACCAGATGTAAAAGACTTAAAAAAGAAAAAGTTAGGAAAATTTGAATATTAAGTTTTTGTATTATATTAAGGAATTATTACTATTGATAAGTGTAACATTCTAATTTTAGCTATGTAGGAAAAAGTTCTTAAATATTCTTAAATATTTAAGTTTAAATAAAGATTATTAAATATTTAAATAAATTTAAGTAAATATTCTCATTTATCAACAGGTCTAGCCTCTTCAACAAATCAATGATATGAAAAAAGGCAGATTGTTAGAAATTTAAAGAGCCCTAAGGAATGGAACTCCAGTGTGTGTTTTTTCCCACACCACCAAACAACTCACTCAATTCTGACACTATCCGAAGAGAGCATCAGATCCCACAGGTTAAGGGCGCAGTCCCACAGGACTTTCTCCACTTACGATGCCAATAAAAGTCTAGATTGTCACCTGTGCTTGTGACGACCGACTATAAATGAGAGGTTGCCATCATCCTCGTCTTAGGTTTTACTAATTTTCTAAAGCGGCTCACAGAATTCAGAGAAACATTTACTTACATTTACCAGTTTATTATAAAGGGTTGAAGGAGTTCAGAAGAGGCCTATGATGTACCACTTTGGCAGGCATGAGGATTCTTATTTTGAATTAAAGGCAACTGAGACCCTGCAGGCTCAAAAGAAATTTTTACCTCTCCCTTAAAAAATTTAAATTGGGGGGACTTGCCCATAATAACAGTTAACAAGAAATAAATTTGTATGACCTATCTGTATGCTGGGACACATATCTAATCACTGAACATCTATCTATCTGCTCTTCTTATTGTTCCGTCCCACTCCTGGACTCCATATGGCATATATATCTCATTTTACCTTTCTGTCTTTGAACCTCTCATGTATGTGGAATTAAATTTATTTTCTCCTGATAATCTGTTTCATATCAATTTGATTAGTCCAGCCGAAAAAAACCTTGTAGCATGGAGGAAACATTATTTCTCCCCAACAGGGTATCATTAAGGATACAGAGGAACAGCCAGATGAAGAGGTACATAAGGTAATGCATGTAGAAAGAGGCGCAGGGTTTGAATGGCCACTCTCCCCACGTCTGTCCATGTTCACCAAGATGAAGCTCTCCAAACCCTGCAGTTTTGGATTTTATGGAAGCTTCATGACATAGGCATGATTGATTGATGATCACTGGCCATTGGCAGTTGATTTAACCTCACCCCTCCCCAAGTCAGGGGGCCATCGAACTGAAATTTTCAACCCTCTAATCATATGGTGGGTTCTTCCGGCAACCAACCCCCAACCTTTGGTTACCTAAATTGCCTCATTAACATAACAAAAGGCAAATTGATCTCTCTCATCCTGTAGGAAATTCCTAGGAGCTCTAGGCCAGGACCCAAGGAAAACCAAATACATACTTTTACAAATCACAATACTAAAACAGTCATTATCAATATGTGACCCTCAACTAGATCCTAACTTGGACAAACCAGCGTGAAAAACATATTTATCAAAACCAGGGAAATTGAGTGTGGAATAAGCATTAAGTTAAGAAATCATTTTTAATTTTATAAAGTATAGTGTTATCCTAGCTTTGTAATGACTTTTTTTTTTTAGTGCATACTACTTTTTTTTTTTTTTAAATCCACAAAGGCTTTTGTAAAAGAAAAGGCTGAGTTTCTATGGATCCAGAAAAATTCCCTCCACGGCTCAAAAGAAAGCTGGGAGATTCATAACAGATCTCTAAGTGATTGTTTAACAAAACCAAACTGTCAGCCAAAATACTGCTACCAAATACTTAGGTTTGACACATCACTGAGAAACATCCCAATATCTGGACGGGGATCACTCAGAATCTTGTCCACTTATATCACTGTATGTCCAGGAACTGAAAGGAAATGTCAGTAGAAATGACAATACAAAGAAGTGATTCTAATTCTTTGAGAAAAACTGAGCTCATCACAGGACCCCTACGTGTGAACCAAAGCAGAAACAGGAACGGATGAAGTGGGCCAAGGCTTGCAGAGCTGCAACCAAAGCGGAAGTTAAGGTGAGAACTCCAGGAGGGTGTATGCTACACTTGGAGTAGCAGTCCCCAACCTTTTTGGCACCAGGGACCAGTGCTCCTATGAGAATCTAATGCCTGATAATCTGAGGTGGAGCTGAGGACAAATACAGATGAAGCTTTGCTCTCACTTGCTCTCCCACTGCTCACCTCCTGATGTGTGGCCCGGTTTCTAACAGGCCAGAAACTGGACGGTACAGGTTGGCAGGGGTTGGGAATTCCAACTTAGAGAACTATAATGTAATAAGCTGGTTATTTCTAACATCAGAACAACAGTCGTCCAAGATAATTACCTTCTTGCAGATAACCTTTAAAACTTGCTAAAATGTGTTCACACTAGTGGCTATAAGGGTTTATTTTATATTAGTGTTTTGCAGCTTGATTTACATTAAGAAGAAAAGGCCCACCTTTTATAGTATTTAGATAATTAAGAAATTATATCTGTGGCATTTATGATACATTGTTTTTTGGGGGCAGAACTAGCAAGTCAATGAAATAATACTGCAGATATATTTTTAAAATGAGTGTTGTAAATCTATATGATAGAGTAACCTGACTTTTGTATTTTATCCAGATTATTTTAAAATTAGATGCCCAACTTAACTATTATGTATCCAGGGTCAACAGATGGGACAGAGCTGCTATTGCTGACTGTTTTCTTATGGAAGGACAGGCTTTAAAAAGTATGTATTTTGCCTAAAGACAGAGGAGATATAATGCATTACCCAGATGTTCTATCAAATTAAGGGCATCTATGCAGCTTGAAAGGATTTGTGAAGAAAAATACAGAACTACTTATACTTTTAGTTATTCTGCTGGTAATGGAAACTAATAGATTCACTGGTTAATGTCAACACAAAGGAGAAACTGTAAATTTGAGTGAATAAAAACAGAAACAGCTTTATTGAAACATCATCTAGGTAGAACATGCTACAGCTGTTGCTCTCATGACCTCATATAGTACTGAGAAGCAAATGATTTATGATGCTAATATGATAATTATACTTCCACTGCTGAAGGGTTCCAGTTACTGTTGGATATGCTCATTTCTGGTAATCTAATACAGCTTAAGGAAAAAATTCCCTTCTCAGCAAAAATAAAATAGTCAAAATCAAGGTGACACTTTGAAGGCTTTTTATTAAAATAGGGGCATAGCGAATGAAAAAAAAATTCTAAAAAGGCAAAAATGTTAATTTCTTTCTTCATATAAATCATTTTTTAAAATGTAATATTTTGAAATGTTCTTTTAGTATTGTCACAATGTCTTGCTTTATACAACAGAGGTACCACCTTAAATGGTATCATGATTAGTTCATTTAATTTTGGCACTCGAAATATAAAAAAAGATTTAGGACCTCTATGTTATCTGTTCACCAAAAGCTGACTAGAGAACTGGAAACTAGTTATTCTACTACGATGAAAAACCTTTGGTATTGACATGTCAATGGAATTTTATATGGATGTACAATGAAGGTGTGATTGAAAGTCAGGTTCGATATTCATTGACAAATTTATATAAGAAACTCGTCAAAATTAAAAAAGCCATTATCTATAATTTTATAACTTAGACAATCTACTATCCATAGAAAACACAAAATGATCTTTCAGGAAATTCATGGGCAAAAACCATAATGCCTGATAAGTAGTGCCCTAGCAATAAAAGTAATCAGAATTACATATCCACACTTAATCTAACTTACAGCACCAGCATGGAGGTGGTTGGGTCCAACTGAAATATTTATTATGGTCGTTGGTTGCCTTTGAAATGATCAGAGACGTAGTGAATGTATGAGAGACGGCAGATAAAAATAGACTAGGGCCTGGTGCAACGAGCACAGGTCATGGATTAAGGAGATTGACTGGGTTCAAGTCCTGATTCTGCAATTTAGCTGCATGACCTAGGAAGGCAATAACTCATTCTCAGTTTGTTTACCTAAAGCTGGTAATAAAATTATGCTCCCTGGGTATCTGACAGGGTTGTGCAAAGAATACAAATGACAGTTCAAAAGCATGTTGTAAAAAAATAAAGCATTATATAGTATAAATTAATTT